TGATATGATGTACTCAGAGAAAATAAGTAATTTGTGTACTCAAGGGAAGTACAAAGGAGGCAATGAAACTATTTCAAGAGACTGAGCAGAAAGGAGTTAGTTTAAATAAATATAATATATCAAGCTAATGGATGGGCTCTTGAAGAGGCGAAAAAGCATATCGAAAGTTGTTTGATCAGATTGACACAATAAGTTGGCTTGGTATTTATTTTGGCATTTGGATTTATGATGCCAATAATGCTGAATTATGCTGTAGAGGCGGTGTGGTGATGGCATTTAATGATTTCATGTAAGTATCTTTTTTCCTATATAATAAATAGTTAATCTTCTTTAGCTTTTGTGACTATTTAGCCAACATATTTTATGTGGTCTTTGCCTAACTGTTCTTGTCTTTCAGGGAACCTTTAAATGGAATCTGTAGTTCGAGTTTAAAGGAACTTACCCATTTCTTAGAGAGATGTTTATGCGTTATAATGTGCGGGAACAGAGAATTGCTTTCTTCTTCGTGTCACTTCTTTTACTCTCTGCAGAAGGGGAGGAGAGAAAGGTAAGTATTCGTTGCTTATGATACTATATATTCTTTTGTTGGCTGGATAATTGGCTCATAGTAGAAATGTAGACTTGGTTGTCTGGTGTTATTTTTTCTCTTTCTTCTATTGTAAAATGTGCTACTTCTTCTTCTTGCTTCCATATCAGTCTTAGATTGATGTGCTATTTTTAATGGATTATGACAATCAAAATGTATTTTTCTATTCAAATTATGGATACTGATGTATTAATATTATTTAAAAAGGATAAAAATACGGACTATCATTTCCCTCTAAGTACTTGAACAAAAGCTGTAAATATTTGTACATAGCTCCTATTAATATTCGATTCATGGTCCTCTCATTGACCCTTAATGAGTGTGCTTCTGTCTCCTACTAATGCCCATATAGAAACTTGTCTTCACTCATGTTATGGCGGGGTACTTTGTATGCATCCCTTGGCGTCTTTGTCTGGAGCAGGCATTTTCATGGTCTTTCTTTAGTGTTCAACACATAGGTTTTTTCCCCCGATTAATTCTACTTGGTAGCCTGGTAGGCATATAGAGGGATTGGAGAACTATCTTGTTTTAATGACTTTGTTTTCATTTTGCTCTTCAAGAACCATTGTTAGTCTGTATTGATGTTAACTTTTGAAAGAATGGAGAACTATCTTTCCCAAGAACCATCCTTTTGTTTAACAATATCAACAGTTATGATCGAAATGATGTAATACTAACTAGCTTTTAAGATTCCAAATGCAAGCTCTTCATGGCAATTCTTTTCTCTTTTCTTGGGCCACACCTTTTCCCTTTCTTATATTGAATTCTTGTCATTCCCCTCCCTTTTCTCTTTTTTCCCCGGCATATGTTTGTTGCTTTCCTCATTTGTTTAGCATATTATTCATTGTTTTGGTATCTTAAAAGTAGTTTTTAACACTTGCAGTATGACCCACTACATAAACAACGTACCAGAAGACAAACTTCTTGATGTGGAAGAGCAAGAAGAAAGTGATGCTGAGGCAAAATCTGAACAAGGAGAAGATGAAAGTTCAAGCGATGATGACTTTGACAGTGCAGAAGATAGTATATATAAACCACCCCCAAATTGTGATGAATATGATGACGACATTGACGCAGTAGAGGCTTGAAGTAATGGTAGGAATAAAGGTAAAGAGCTCGCATGTGAGGTGCCTCCTAGTACACCTAAAATGTTCCATAATAAAGCAAACAAAACAACAATTGATATCAATCCAGAAAAAAGAATAGAAGAGAGCATACATCAATGCCAGTCAGACCTACTAGACCTGAAGGTGGTGTTAACCCAATACGTGTAATATCCTGAGGAGTTTGTCAACCTAGTTGACTTTGATGAGGAGGATACTGCTACGATTTAAGGATGAATAGAAGTATGGGTATGTTATTGAATTGGAGATGGAGTGCAACAGTTTAGGGGTGTTTAAAAGTGCCGTGAAGGACTGCAAATGGCAAATATATTGGGTGAAACACACACATTCTCACCTGTCCATCCATCATTATTCGTCTGTCCCCAGTTAAAAAATTGCTTTACTCGTTAAAATTCCATGTATAAGCTATTGAGCTCCATTGCAGATTTAACTGATCCAACCAACTTTTCAGGTTATCAAGCAGATGGTAAAATGGGAAATCTGGCGCCCCCAAAACAGAGTTTGATATTTCCTCAACCTTTTATGGGTGAGAAAAAAATTGTAAGAGTTTTCTTTAATTAAATGATGATTTTAAGGCTTAGATTTGCCACATGGGGGGAGACACTCCTTGTCTGGTTTAAAGCAACCTCAAATGCAAATGAAGAATGTATTAGCTACTAAGACTCAAATATTTATTGATTAATTCAAGTGTTCTTGTCTTCTTGATATTCATCAGGGCATTACCATAAAGAAGAATAAGAATCTGTTCCTTTCCTGTGCACGTAGTCTTCATTTCAAATGTCCAATTCCAAAATGGACACCGCCACTTGAACTTTCAACGAAGCGGGCAAAGTATCCACACCTGGTCTAAAAAATAAATATGGTCATGGAAGGGAGAAGTTCTTAAATACGCTGCACTTTCAACGAAGCGGGCAAAGTATCCACACCTGGTCTAAAAAATAAATATGGTCATGGAAGGAAGAAGTTTTTAAATACGCTGCTTCTATATATATTCAAATCTTAACCATTGATCTCCGTGCATTCAACGGTTGAGATTTATTGAGAATTAAAAATTAATTAATGAGTGAGATCTAATAAATTTTAACCATTAGATGCAGAAAATCAATGATTAAGATTTGGTATAAGATTTATTATTCTTACACAGGTGTAAGATTTATTATTCTTACACCGGTGTATGTAAGATGATCCTGCTCCTATATATAACTCTGGAGTCAAATGATATCTCTTTATTTATATATATATATATATATGTGTGTGATTTCCAAGGTCAAAATTATCTTGTGTATTCAATGTGTCACCAATTTTATGTAAAATTTATTGAACTATGCTGACCAAAATAAATATTTTACCATGTCCACCTATTTTAGATAGACTTCCATCTTGTCATGGGAGAACAGTTTGGGAAACACGTGGCTTAAAAGAATAAGTGGCGGATGAGCGAAGCAAGCTTTGAGAATTATGAAGACTGTCATTGACAACAGAGAATCTCTTCAGAGTATAATATTTGCCAACAACAAACTCGTTAATGGAGAATAACCATACTTTTTTTCCATATCTCTCTTCCTCCCCCAATTCTCTCTCTCTCTTTGGATTTATAGTACTCATCCAAGGGGCCATGGATGTACCAGCAAAGCTTCTGCAATATAGATACCATATCTCCATAGCAATAGCAATTTCGCTATCCTTTTCCTTGATGTTATATGCGGCCCCACCAATTCTGACCATTCTGACGTATTTTTGGCCTTTGTTTGCTTCCACAACTGTATTCTTGGTTGCAATAATAGCCTTTGGAGGCGTTTCCAAATTCTCAACTGAAGCTCATGGTGAAAAAGTTGCAGAAGGGCTCTTGGATTACGTAGCAGGCATGCCAGAACATACAGAGGAGGCTCAAAACTTCTAAAGTGCAAGAAGGGTGTTCGAGTTTCAGACTTAGTATAAATAGAGGAAAACCCTTTCATGTCCATAACAATGATCAATAATATCTTGTTCTCTGTATCCATTTCATTCTCAAATGACAGTTGTATCAATTGAATGAGTTTAATGAATGTCACAGCAATATGAACGAAAATAAAAGCATAAACTTCTGGAATTGGTAAGTGTAAAAATTTCTATAAAAAAAGCATAGCTTCTTGTCCCCTTCCTTTGTATATATACTATTCTCAAACATCCATCTCAATTAAATGGTAAGTGAAGCCCATCAATGATTTCTTAAGTCTTAGCCACAAGATCTGGTTGAGACGAGGATAATATTACTGTAAGAAGAAAATTTTAAGCTAGAATGGATAATGTAATTCATAAGATATGGACTTTATGTCTTACGAGCAGCTAGATGCATGACAAACTTAATAAAGTTCTCTCCAATGATGATAAATACTTAAATTAGTAAATAAAATTTAGCTTCTGATGCATGATCTCGTTGTTTCTATCCTTCATCTTCCACTGTGACAAATCTTCTTCTTTTTGAGAATTTTTTTTGGTGAAATAGAAAATATTTTATACAGCATCAACCTAATTAAGTGGCCCTGCATTTTCTAACCATTCCCTTTTTTGAGTTTATTTACCTTCCATTCAGTATTCTATACCTAGATAACCAGTTACATACGCCAAAGTATGTAAATTGGCATTCATGTCCATGCTTTTCAAGTCTTCAGGCCATTAACAGTGAAAGGAGAGTAGGTGACTGCATATTTTATTCACCTTCACAATAAAAAATGTAATTCCTTACAACACTATGCTGTGGTCACACGGATTCACTTATGGTCATCAGCTTGCGTTCAATTCCACAAGTGAAACATGGTTGCGGAATTTTTTGTTTGGATATAAGCTCTTGTTAACTCAATCTTCATGCTACCCTGGAAACCCATGAAGCATCTGTCCATGCACAATATATATACAACCAGATTTTAATTTTACTAATCACTTCCTATTTAAAGTATGAGAGTCCAAAGAGGTTAATCTGAATATTAAATTACCACGGTTGTCTTTAGTTTCACTTTGTTAATATATTGATTGCTAAGTTAGATTGGTGGAACATTAGCTAAGATTGGTGACCTGTTGCATGTGAACCAGCTCCAGTGATGAATGATCACTTAATTATACATTATTATAGATAATTATAGGTAATAGTTTTCTCATGCAGTAGGAGATAATAATTATCTCCTACTGACTCATTTGTATAGTTGGGGTTCACTTTGAAGGGAAAAGAGAAAAAAAAGTAGAGTAGGACTCATCTTGAATTTGTGTGTAGGAGATAGATTTTTTTCTATGTAACATAAGAATAATAAATCCCATAAAAGAATGTATTAAAAGTTTGAAACGTTATGCTCTTTCGCTAAGCACCGTCTCAACTTCATCGGATCTTAGTACCAATTTTGGCTACCCTTGCGGGGGGAAATGTGCGCCACTATAGTTTCTCATGAAATGAGAAGGATATGAATTAGATGTTCTACTGTATAAAATGTAAACTAAAATTCATGACTTAGTAGACAAGTATAGGGTTAAGATGATTCAAAATATCTAAGATCAGCTTCTGTCAGAGCTCCTGATTTATCACAATCTAGTTTTCTAAAAATCTCCATCACAACTGAAATATCTTCTTGGCTGATCTTTCCCATTTCCTTCAACTTGTATACAACGAACTCTGCAGCACTGAGATAACAAAAATGTTGAATGTGAGCATTTGATGGCTAGGTCCAGCTAATTATTGAAGCTATCTATCGATGCTGGAAAAACTGGGTATCATAAATATGAACTTACTGTATCTCTCAGTGCAAATAATAGAGAGAAAAAGAATCCATATATAAGCAACCAACTATCTTTTTTTTATTACCATCAACATTACCTAAAGTACTCGTATTGCCTTACCTAACAGCTTTGTCTCCATCAAGATCTGCTGCCTCAAGATCAAGGAGTGACAATTTTCGTGCAAGAACCATTTTTGCCAGTGATTTTTGTCTCTCTTCAGTATATAGTTCAGCAAGATAGGCAAAAGACTGAGCTAAGCAAATGGTGCTGCTCAGTATCCAGAACACAGCAAAAGTACGACCAACAGTAGTGGAGAAGCTCTTATCCCCATAACCCAAAGTAGTGACTGTGGAACAAACACAATAGAGGGCATCCACAAAATCTAGATTTTCAATAAAATACAGAAAAATAGTTCCTACTACCATAAGCAATAAAAAGGTGGATGCTGCCAGCATGAATTTGTATTTGGCTTTGTTAGATTCAATCTCTTTGGAAAGCTCTTCTAAACCAACTTTTCCACCTTTGTAAATAGCTCTAACAAGCAAGATTTCCTGCTTTTCAACAATGTAATCTGCTGCCTTGCTAAGAATTAACCCACCAAGAGCCATGCCAGTGAATACATAAATGCAGGCAAAAAGTTTTGCCACTGAACTATTGGGTACAAGATCTCCATATCCAACAGTAGTCATAGTCACAACACAGAAGTAAATGGCATCAAGAAACCCATTGGTTTTTATACCCTCGATTTGATAACTTGTGAGAAAGAAACATAGGGTACCTCCACCTAGGTAGGCAGCTAACCACAATAACACAGGCTTGAAATGGAATTCTGCTTGTGGTTTTGTAGCTATATATTGAAGGTGTAAAGGGTTTTGGACAACATTTTGTTCTTGGATATTGATCTCTGTCCCTGAAGCACTGCCACGCCGGGGTCTTCTTCTCTGGAGGTCACTCTTATCGTTGAGATGAGAATGATCTCTTGGCTCTGAAAGCAATGACTCTTGTGCCTCATCACTACCCATCAACTTACTAAAAAAAGCTTCATATATTAGCAGGCCACCTGAAAGTTTGAAGTTCCAAGGGACTTAATTTGCTCCTACCATGTTCCTGATTTATGAAACTACTAGTAGTAGAGTCACTTACAATAACAACATTATGGATAAAAAAATTTCCTGCTAGAAGTTATCTTTCTATATTCTTGGTTAAGTGTTTATTCAAATTTTAAATGGTCAATAGTAAATTGATTGCCTAAACCGGTTTCCTTCCTCTCCAATGACCTAATAATTTGCTATTTGAGATAGTTCTGTGATTTTTCTAATTGTTAGCGAAAGTTACTCCATAGAACATAAGGAAATACTATGAAATGCTCAATTCTCTTGTGCTATAATTAGTAGATCAAATTCGCCTTTAGTTCATCATAGAAGCTAATGTATTGACAGACTAATCTAAAGAAAATTAAGGGCTGGAATGTTGTTCCTCTGCCTATAAACTATAGGCTATACTATATAAATCAATCTAAAGTCTGAAGAGAGGCTAACCAATACATTAATTTCGACTGAATGAGAAAACACAAAGGTAATTGTTCTTAAGACGTACTATACCTGGTAATGTTTCTTGGCCAGTATAAACTGTGGGGACAGTATCATTTCAGTTTTAAAATACACACAAAGAAATACTGTAACAACCAATTGGTACAAAACAAGAACAAAATAGATTTTTAGCTACCTGAGAAGGTTGTTTCTAGAAGGTCAACTTGTTCAGATAGGAAATTGATGATCACAATTCTTCAAATTCCGTTAAATTAACCAGAAAGAACAATTCTCTTTTTCTGTTTGAGGAAGTTCAGAGGATTCATGAAAAACAGCCAATAATGTCTCGGATGCTTCCAAATGGACATTTTAACACCTTAAAACGCCTAGTTTCTGTTTTAACCTTCCGATCCATTCACATGCCAAGTGCCACTATCTAGGCAGCGTTCAATAGTTTTTCATTTTTTTGGAACACTTATTCAATACTCTCATTTCACAATTGTGACAACAAATAATAGTATTGTAGCCCCCGAAAATTTATTTAAAATAAAATATTGATAGAACTTTCATTAATTTTATTTAAATTAAAAAATTGGAAAAAAAAATATGTTTGCAAATCATTATTATTATTTTTGTTAGAATTGAGATTAGGTTAACTGCATCCCTTATTAATCGGTGTAGTTAAGTTGACAACACACAAGTGTGACTAAACCCCGACTTGGAATTAGTCAAGTAGTCAGTTCAAAGAATTAAATACCCAAGGAAGGAACCGATTAGTCTCAAATAGATAATTAGATTCGGTATATAAATAAAAAATAAAAAAAATCAGGGGTTACTCTATTCATATTGGCTTCAAGCAATGAACAAATTATCTAAAACCCCTAATTTGTTGGGCTTCAGAGACTAACTGATAGGGCCAGTCAGGACACAATCCATGGCAATTTAGGAAATAGATTCTCACATATGATGTTTGAACATAATATAAATAATCTCAATCATTCATAAATCAACCGGAAATTAAAATAATAATTTCTACTTTCTCCATCATTAAAATTGTGGCTCACTATTGAACAATAACAAAAGGTGAAAAATACTAAAAATGTATAGAAAAACGATGAAGTGGGCTTTAGATATGGTTGGAGGTATATCTAGTATCCATAATCGTAAGCAAACTCAGAAACACCAACCATGGCAGAAAGCACTTGAGAAACAATGTAGATGCTGCCCCCTAAAATAGCAATTATGAGAAATGCAGAAATGGGATTCTTGAGCAGCTCAAATATAGGCTGGACGATGGTATAAATGGCACCTGTGCTGACAGTGAGAGCGTACAGTGCATATCTCCTAACATTGTCCCAAAACTCTTCCACAAGTGGACCTTCAGGACCCAAAGCAAAGGCCTTTTGGTCACTCAGAATCAGCAAAACTCCCACTGAAACAGCAGCTCCCATTATCACAATCCTCGAATACCCTTTTTGATCAGGAACTACATGTTTCACCAATGATCTCGGTGCATCATGTTCCACACCTGTTGTGTGTTTGAGGGTGATTGAACGAGTTGGAGTAGTATGTTGTCTCACATTTGAAGGTGAGTGTTTCAATGTTTTCCCACATGATATAACAAGTTTGATGGGTTTGAGAAATAATGGAGGATGTGAAGTGGAACAAGAGGGGTTGGATGGGCTTGGAATGTGGAGCTTTGATCCCAGGCTAAGATTTTTCATCTTCTTCCCCTTCTCACAGTCACAGCAATACCAATTGTGGATGGAAATGAAGGTATTTACAAACAATAACCTTATCTTCGTGTGTAATGTTTGATACCTTATCTTGTGTTGTGGGGTTATCTGCCAATGCCATGAAGCACACAGCCCACAGTGGGACCCTCCGCAAGACTCCCGGCTCCCACTTTAAATTTAGGTGGTGTTTGGTACGAGTATTTGGTATAGAATGATGGAAAAGTAGACTCAGTAATATTTATTTATCATGTTTGGTACGGGTATTGTGAACAAAATGCCAGCAAATTTTTCTACCCGATATTTTCCTTTTGAACTACATTAGAGCAAAAAAAATTTCCCACTTAACCTTTGGTATTTATTTTTTCCTTGATCTTGGATTTTCAAAAAGTAACATTTGATTCACTTTTTCCTTAAAAAAAACAACATTTTGATGATGACTCCCTTGGCATATTCAAAAAATTAAGGGTATTTTGATAATTTCTTTCATATTTTCATCAATATTATACCTTCAACTAAATATAGCATCAGTAAAATTAACCCAACTTTTCCAGCAAAATTTTGGCCAACCAAACACTTTTGTGTAACTTATCAACGATAAAAAAATTATTACCAAATTCCTACCAATCTTAAAAAAAAATTCTCTCGTGCCAGCAAATTAGTTTTATACCTTTAAACAGCAAATTAGTTTCTCTATTTATTTATTTAATTAATTTTTTGTAATAGTAATCTTTATATTTTTATTTATTGGTATGCTTTTTATAGATAAAGTATTGGTTATTATATTTTTTATTTAAATTTTAGTTTTATACCTTTTATATTAATGTATTGATTCTTATTTTTCAAAAACAAAAAAAAACTAGTTTTTAAAGTATTTTTTTTATTCAGAAAAATATTAGTCTTCCAGATATTAAAATCCTTTAAATTTGATTGAATACCAAATGACTTTTTTATAATCCTTTAAAATCTTAATTGCATATTAAAGTATTTTTTCCAAAAATAATCCCTTAAAATCTTTTAAATCTTATTCCAATACCTACGGTTATCAACTATATAAATCCATAAGAAAAACAATGGATAACAACATTGAATTTTAGGGTTAGAGTTTAATCAAAATTGAAATAAATGATAAAACACCCAAAATTATTTCAGTTGTAACAATACAATGTAGGGAATCATAATAAATTATTTTCTGCCGTGGCTTTACGTGTAACCCAATAGATATATATGAGTTCGATTTTTCTGCCTCCGCTTTACGTGCAGCAGTGACAGATTTTCCATATATATAGGTTAAAGCATTTAATGTAGGAAATCATAACCACTAATTGTCATTGCTGTACGTACAATAAATTTAAATATGATTTTATCTCTCTCTATATATATATAGGGTTATGTTTATCTCATTTTACATGAGATAAACAACTCTCTTACACACACAAAAAGGGATTGGGTTCTACCACTCTTTTTTCTTATGAGGTAGTTTTTTTCCTACAACATAAGAAAAATATATCTCATATATATAGGGCTTATCATTTCTCAAGTTGCCGGAGATAACTTTAACCCCGGCTACTAAATCATAACCATACAAAGATGGATCAATGGTGATAAGGAATAGAGAAAAAGAGAATCATAACCATTCAAAGGTGAATCAATTAATATAAGAAAATAAATAAACAAAACGACGTTATTTTTGGGTGGCCGGAGATAAACTTATCTCAAATTACCGGAGAAATATTTTTTCCATATATATATAGGGCTTATCGTTTCTCAAACTGGTTGAGATAATTTTATCTCCGGTTACTAAATCATAACCGTACAAAGATGGATCAATGGTAATAAAGAAAGAGAACAAAAAAAGAGAATCATAATCATTCAAAGGTGAATCAATTAATATAAAGAAATAAATAAATAAAACGACATAGTTTTGGAAAGGTCAGAGATAAACTTATCTCAAGATGTCGGAGAAATATTTTTCCGATATATATATAATCACGCGCATTAAAAGCAGGAATTGAATGTAATTTAAAAACCATTAAGGAAATCATATATATTCTGGTCAATTAGAAATCATATATATTCTGGTCAATTAGTGGTTTTTAAATTACATTCAATTCCTGCATTTAATGCGTGAGAGTATATATATATATATATATATATATATATATATCAGAATAATATTTCTGTAATTACTGCAGATAAGTTATCTATATTTATTCTCAAACGACGTCATTTTAGGATTAAAAAATTAAATAATTATAATTATAAAGACTATAATAACCTTGAAATAAATTAAAATTACAAAAACATCATGATTTTTGTCCCAAAATGACGTCGTATTAGGCTTACTGCATATAACTTATCTGCAATAGCTACAGAAAAAGGAAACCCTATATATATAAGTTCATTTTTCTGCAAAAAAATGTAGATAAATTATTTACATTGAACCCAAAAAGATGTTAAAATCAAAATATTTTTGTAATTATAATTTATTTCAGGGTTATAATAATATTTTTCATTATAATTTTTTAATCCTTCAACCGTAAACGACAATATTTTGGGTGTGAATGTAGATAATTTATCTACATTCACTGTAAAAATATTAAAGCTTATATATAAAGTCTATAAGTCTTACACTCAATCTTAACCATTGATCCACTTGTATCCAATGACTCATATTATTAGAAAATTAGAGCTATTAGATATAAGTGGGATCAATGGTCAAGATTGAGAATGTAATTTACACTGGTGTAAAATGATCCAGACTTATATATATATATATATATATATATATATATATATATATATATATATGAGTTTAACGGATGTGAAAACATTAAATATGGAGAATCATAACTATACAAAAGTGAAAATAAATATAAAATATTAAATATGGAGAATCATAATCATACAAAGGTAAAAATAAATATAATATTTTTGTTTTCTATAATTAATTTTGATCTCGAAATTCCTTTATTCCACTTAAAACGAAGTAGTTTTTAGATAATTGCATCAATGCTTATAGCAGTCATATTACAAATTATTTTGTCATATATATAGGGATAGGATCCTTTGACACTGTCAAATTTTAAAATTTGACAGCAAATCTCAACCTTTGATCTTCGCCAAACAACTGTTATCATTTATTGAAAATTAATATTAATTAATAAGTTTGATTCTCAATAAATGATAACCTTTGATTGACGAAAATCAAATGTTGGATTTGGTGTTAAATTTTAAAATTTGACACTGATGACAAGGATCCTGCCCATATATATATGTATATATATATATATGTATATATATATATGTGTGTGTGTGTATATGAGGCAGGATCCTTTGACACCAGTGTCAAACACCTCATCTGAGAGCCGTTAGATAAAAAAAGATCAACGACTCTGATTTGTAAGCATGTGATACCATTGATCTTTTTTGATATAATGACTCTCAGATAAGGTGCCAAATTTTAAATTTGACACCGGTGTCAAAGGATCCTACCTCTATATATATATAGGAAAAAATATTTGTCATTTTAAATGACATAACACTCTGTCCTTTTAAGAGAGAGACAAACACAGAAAAAAATTTATTTAAATTTTAAATTAAAAAAACCACTTAATTTCTCTCTCCTATGATTTCCTTTTTTCTGTGTCTATCTCTCTCATAAAATGACATAACTTATATCATTTAAAATGACAAACACCAAACCTATATATATATATATATATATAGGAAGGTTATACTTACAACATTTTTTTCTACAACATCTTACAACCATATCTTAACACCGTTGATTTCCGTCAATCAACGGTTATGATTTTCGCAAATTAAACTCATTAATTAATTATTAATTCACATTAAATGATAACCGTTGATTGACGGAAGTCAACGGTGTTAAGATATGATTGTAAGATGTTGTAAAAAAAAAATTATAAGTATAACATTTCTCATATATATATATATATATATATATATATATATATATATATATATAGGGAAAAATGTTTCTGCAGATAAGTTATCTGCATTTATTCTCAAAACGACGTCGTTTTGATATTGAAATCTTAAAAAATTATAAATATAAAGACTATTATAACCCTGAAATAAATTAAAATTACAAATACACCGTGATTTCTGCCCTAAAACGACGTCGTATTGGGCTTACTGCAGATAACTTATCTGCAGTAGCTACAGAAAAAGCGAACCCATATATATATATATATATATATATATATATATATATATATATATATATTCTTCACGTACAAATATACTTGATATGAGTAAATCAAGAAAGATAAATGTAATGCAGCAATGAAATAAGAGATATATCGACACGGAAACTATGGGTGAGAGAAAAATAAAAATAAACAAAGAATTATATTCTTTCGACCAATACCCAAGAATTCGTATTCCTAGAAATCAACGTTTAAGTAATTCTTAGGCCTCATTCAGAGAATTAGATTCAAAAGGTTTTTTAAGGTCGATTCACAATGAAGACAAAATAGAAAAAATAAAGAGATGAAACAATAATTCAAAAACCATACTTCTATAAACATAAAGATTGTATTTTATATGAAAGTTCTGATATTAAATGTTAAAATATAAGATTTTCATCTATATAAAAATATAATATCAAAAATTTCATAAATTCATACAAAATAATAAATATAATAATTTACAGATTTGAAGCACAAATATATTGATGTGAAAATGTTAAAAAAATATATTTTAATCTACTTCAAACCTTGTGCTAGAAATTTTAGGGCGTTATATATATTTTTTAATGTAACATAATATCTAAGATGATTGTTGAAACCCGATAGGCGATAACAAAATAATTATGTACGAAAGCAGGAAATAGTTATTTATTTCAATAAACGACTAATAAATTTTCATCAAATTCAACGGACAGTTTTTGGTATTTCGATGAGTGAACTTTTAGTCCATAAATAAACAATATAGACCAAATACCAAGTGAATTATTTAGACTCATCCATAGAACAAAAATAACTAACATAGTTCATGCACATGCAATTCTTTACAAGTAGGAATATCCCCATCCCCCGTTTCTCCTATTTATTTCTTTGACCATCGAGTTCGTTTGCCTCTCCGTTTAATTAGACTTAGGCACAGTTAAACGAATAGACAGCTACAAATTTAACTAATGAAACAGGGGAATACAATATTGATAGTGTTTTATGACTCTTATGAGCATTTATCATAGGCACATATTCTAGAAGAAGAAAAGGCAATAGAAAAAGAAAATTAAAAAAAATAGAGAAAGGATTTTTTAAATAATATTAATCATAGTAAGACAACAATGAACCTAACATTGGGGCCCAGAAAAGTTAAAAATGTCCAAAATTTCATTATAAACTTTATAAATAAGAGATAAAACAAGTATGACATTTCCTCTATGACTTGTATATATTGTCACTGAGTATATACATCATCCCTTTAATTAAGCTATTATTCCGTGTACTTTGATCTAATACTTCAAAGGTATCTCTTCGTAAATACTCGAAAGAACCTATCAGATAGTAATGAGCAATTAAAATTTCCATTTCTCCATGAATCTGCTTCAATTGTCCACCATTTTCAAAATCATCATAATTACCGGCATTAGCAATTGCTAACAATTATTTGTCAATAAATTTTACAAGACTTAAATGTTCTCATATGCATATATTAAAATAAACATGAGAGGATGCTATGCATATATTATTCTGTCTTCTTTATTACGACTATTTAAACCCTCATCTCACTAAACTTTCCATATTCAGTTTTCTTCTCTGGTCTTACTCTTCTCTCCCTCTATATTAACATGCATTCCATTTATGCTCTACCTTGCTTCTCTGCAACTCAAATGACATTGCTTAATTTCTTCGGCTTTGCAGGTTACTTGATAGCAGATTGAAAGCATTTCAGTATGAGGGTTGCGTTGAAAAGCATGATCTCGGTGGCCTGGCTCCTGGCCTTTGTCTTAACTACTGTGCTCTTAGGTAACACCTTTGTGACACATTTTACACTAGCCTCTGTACAATTGTGATTTGAAACGTTGCACACATGCACATGCATACTAACCGGGTAATAGACTCGTAAAATAAAATAAGATCTAGATCTATCCTTTGAGGTTTCACATAATAAGATTACGTACGTTTATAGTTTATAGTTTATTGCAATGCAGTGAGCGATTTACCAATTCACAAGGAAGGTGAAAGAGGCGCTGATATTGAAGAGATGGTTTTTTCCACCGAAAACAGGACAGAGATAACCTCTCGGAAACTACTGCAGTTTGCTGGTATGATCAGAACCGTTACATATTTTCAGTGATGTATATATTATGAGTAGAAAAGTTTCCCATTATAAAAATATTGTCTTGTCTTTGAACTTTTTGACTCATATGTAACAATATTGCCACTTTAATAAAATTAAAATTGTTGTCCTAACTATAGTGTATGTAATGTATGTTGTAGATTATGGGAACATTAGCCGTATAGGCAGAGCTTGTTCAAAGAATTATATAAGGATATATCAAAGCCCAATGCCTCCTCTTCCTAGTGGAATTCCTGCGTACAATGTTGAAATCACGAACATGTGCCCAAGTGATTGCAGCATAGCAAATATTCATCTTCACTGTGGATGGTTCAGTTCAGCACGTTTGATAAACCCGAGAGTGTTTAAGAGACTTGGATACGATGATTGCCTTGTCAATAATGGACAGGCCCTTGGCGCCGGAAGAATCATCTCCTTTCAGTATGCCACCACATTCTCCTACCCTCTCTCTGTTTCATCTGTTGTTTGCCTCTGATAAGCTACTTTAATTGTAGTTGGAATTTTGAACCCAAAAAATAAGACTTTGTCTACAACATTACAAGAATATTTATTGTAGCCTTGTGGGTGTGCTATCTCAACTGGTACTGTTGACGTGATGTGTTTTTTTTTTTTTTGCAAGAACGAAATCTATATGCATTGCAAACGTTTGCATACAGCTAGAGGAAGCACTAACTAATTATTTAAAAAACAAATCGGAAATTGAATTGAATATAAAAGCATTATTAATTAGTTTGACTATTTGAATCGAATAATATATATATATGGGATAGGTTTGACACCAAATCCTAACTTTTTATTTTTATCAATAAAAGTTTATCATTTTCGTCAATCAAACTTACTAATTAATTATTAATTCTTAGTAAATGATAACTGCTGATTGGTGAAAATTAACGGTTAGGGTTTAATGTCAAATTTTAAAATTTGACACTGGTGTCAGAATCTGCACACACCGGTGTCTAATTTAACTCATCTAAGAGCCGTTAGATCAAAAAAGATCAATGGTGTCACATGCTTACAAATTACAGTCGTTGATCTTTTTTGATCTAAAAGCTATCAGATGAGGTGTCAAACTTTAAGTTTAAGATCGATGTCAAAGGATTATCATTTTTACAGTTGTACACGTACAACAATTAAATTTAAACAGTTGATTGATTATGATTCCCCACATTTAACGCAATTATCCATCTTTGTATGATTATGATTTTTTAAATTTAATCATTTTGAGAAATATTTTTCTCATATATAATAATAGGGCATGATCAATTTATACCGGTGTAAGAATAATAAATCTTACATCAAATTTCAACCGTTAATATTCATGCATCTAACAATTATAATTTATTTAAAATTAATAATTAATAAATATGACCAAATAAATTACAACCATTAAATGCACTGAAATCAACTGTTAAAATTTGCTATAATACTTATTAGTCTTATACTGGTGTAAGTTGATCATATATATATATATATAGAGAGAGAGAGTATCTCGTATATAAAGTCTTAAATGTAAAGATGTAAGAAGTTTAGAAGAAACTCATAAATGATTATTACTCGTTATTCTTATAGAGTGGCTAATTGTAGATTATAACTATTTCGGTTATTAACTCTTTTGCCTTTGTTTTTTTTTTTAAATTATAACTTTATTATTTTTTTAAAGTATATATCAATCTGTTATTATTTAACCATGTTAATTGCTAGTTACTCTTGAGGTGGGCTACTTAAATTTGGATCTATAAATATTTTTTATACAAATCAAGTTTTAATGTCTTGTACATTTATAAATGAATTTGGGATGTGTATTTCTCGATCCAAAGCAGAGGTCAATCTTCATCCGAGCTCTTTATACCTTGAAATTTTTGGGTAAACTTTGAAAAAACATAACTTTTGACTCAGTTGTTCGAATCAGTTTTATATATATATATATATATATATATATATATATATATATAAAATTTTTGGAGATCTACGTGATAACAAATACTCAATAGAGATTTGGTAAAAGAAATTTCCAACAAAAAAAAAATGTTTCCTTCATGGATTTTGGGAATGACAAAGTAAAGAGGCATAAATCTTTAAAAGCAATACTACATAAACATAAATACGTACATAAAATTTAGATTAGTAAATTCAGTTTGGGGTATAAAGAGCTTAGATGGAAATTGTCCGCAATTATTTTGAACCCTCAAACCCATATATAAAGTCCTAATATGTGTGTGCATGATATAATAAGCATATTTAAACCCAGTTTTACAGGTCATATTAAAAATGAACCAAAAAAATCATGTTTTAACACCTTGAATTGAATAGAGACAGTTGTCAATTGTAAAAGACCCACAAATAGTCATCTCACATCTTTTTTTTGATAACTGATCCAATACTCATCTCACATCTATTTATACATGTAAGTTACTTGAGTAATTGGACCAGATAAAAATAAATAGTTTTAAAAGGGGGACAAGTATGTAAATATTTTTAAATACAGGGACACAACAATAGTCAATCACTCAAAATATTTTTTTATGGAGTAAAATTTAATGGTCCTCTCATTGAATAAAATTTGGATGGTTATTTTAAATAATTTGAACATTTTATATTCAATTAAGAGTTTGGTAATAGGACTAATAAATTTGATATTTAATTAACAGGAAAATTATTTGTCCTTTTAAATGATATAAGCTTATGTCCTTTCACTCCTTATAACTATTTACTCCTCCAAAGAGTACATAGTTATAATATGAAGAAAAAAAAAGTTCTCTCTCTTTAGAATCAGGACTTGTCGGCTGACGTAGAGAGAAAAAAAAAATAATAACTTTCATATTATAACTATGTACTACTTCCCCGAGTACATAATAAAGGGTAAAAAGACATAAACTTTATATTTTTTGAAAGCACACACACTAAACCCTTAATTACTAGATATAATATATAAGGTGACGTGTGTAGAAGAACATGCGTACTTATTCTTGATGAAATTGCAACTCTGTTTTGTTCACAAATGAATCAATCAATTTTCATGGGAATTTAAATTTTTCATGTTGCATGATAATTGAATTATTATATTGTGACTCAATTAATAGTGAGTCTTACATTTATTAAGAAAAGAAAAAGAAGAGAAAAAAAAAATTACACATAAATCAAAAGCTAACAATATAAGAATTGAATTTCATGCGACATGAAAAATGTTTTTCCATTTTCATTATGCTGAATGAATGCAGTTTCATCCTTCTCGAACTAAGCCTATCATTGGCCATTGGCCTATCAAGAGTGATAGAGAATATTTTTATTGTTTTCAACAGTAAAAAAAAAAAGAAAAAAGCCTGAAATAGTAGTACAGTTATTCTTTTTGAGTGTATTTTTTATCGTTTGATGTTAATGTTGATGTTTCACCTGTCGCCAGTAAAAAAAAATATAAACTCCAATTGTAGCCGGCGAGGTTCCGTCCCTAGCCAGCTATTGTTTCTGTATGGCTGAATGTAACTCGCTAGTCGCTAACGAATAGAACAAAAAAAAAAAAACAGGAACGAATAGGGAACCATGTTTAAGGTATATAGTTATTGAATTTGTCTTCATAGCCGAGATTCCTAGCATAACCTACCCCCAACACTTGCTTATCTCAGGCCTTAAGTTGACTTATTTGTCGCATTCAATGATTTACGTTGTTCGACGCCACGAATTAAAAATTATGTAATTAACTTGTGTCGTTTACACATATATTTTATCGATTTTATAACTCTCGTTTCTCATGAGAATTAAAATTTTCTATACATCTTTCGATTTTTGTATTAATATTTGTTTTATATATAATTTTTTATAACACAAGAGTCTCACATGTTTTTTATCTCTACAACATAAAATTTCAATTATCGTTCAAACGATAATTATAAAACCCATGTTTTATATAAAGAGATCAACCTCAAAGACATGTTTCTCTAAGTTATTGAAAAATATCCTTCACAAACAATTGGATCCACCCTTCATGCCATGGAAGTCCAATCTTCCTTCCTAGTTATTACCTTCCTCCTCTCACTCTTAATGCTTTGGCTTGCAAAGAACTTCAAGGCAAAGAATCTGCATAAACTTCCACCAGGGCCATGGAAGTTACCTCTCATAGGGAACCTGCATCAACTAGCAGCAGCAAGCTCACTTCCTCATCGTGCTCTCCATGAACTAGCCCAAAGATATGGACCGCTGATGCACCTACAACTAGGTGAGATTTCTGCAGTGATTATATCATCCCCAAACATGGCCAAGGAAATAATGAAAACACATGATCTTGCCTTTGCTCAGAGGCCAGCATTTCTTTCTTCTGATATTTTAGGCTATGGATCACAAGACATAGCATTTGCTCCATACGGTGATTATTGGAGACAAATGAGGAAAATATGTACGTTGGAGCTTCTAAGTGCCAAGAGGGTCCAGTCTTTCTCCCATATTAGAGAAGATGAGGTAGCTATACTCATAGAAACAATTCAATCATCTGCAGGTGCACCAGTCAATCTTACTAGCATGATTAACTCTTTCATAAGTAACTTTGTTTCTAGAGCAGCATTTGGTAACATATCTGAAGACCATGAAGAATTTTTATTGATGGTAAAAGAAGCAATAGAATTGGCAGATGGCTTTGATCTTGCTGATCTGTTTCCTTCTTTGAAACCTATGCATCTCATAACTGGGATGAAAGCCAAATTGGAGAATATCCATAAGAAGCTCGACAACATCTTAGAGAAGATTGTAAAGGAGAATCAAGTTAAGCAGATGAGAGCAAACAAAGGCACGAGAGAAGAAAAGAACGAAAATCTTGTTGAGGTTCTTTTAAGAGTCCTGCAGAGTGGAAGCCTTGAGACCCCAATTACAATCAACAATGTCAAAGCTGTGATTTGGGTTAGTATGTCTGCCATAACGTGTCATCAAATTTTTGAATTCTATATGAGATCATGCACATATATAATTCCCTTTTGCTATGCGTTTGCAAACAAGTATGTTAATAAATTAATGGCATCACTAATTTGTTCTTGTTATGAATGAAAATCTGAGACAATATACAATATTATCCACAGGATATATTTGCTGCTGGAACGGATACTTCAACAACAGTACTGGGGTGGACTATGTCAGAAATGATGAGAAACACAAGAGTAAGAGAGAGGGCACAAGCTGAGATTAGACAAACTTTGAGAGGAAAAGAAACAATCCATGAGACAGACATAGGGGAACTTAGTTACTTAAAGGCAGTAATAAGAGAAACCTTGAGGTTACACCCACCACTTCCTTTGTTGCTTCCAAGAGAATCCAGGGAAGCATGCAGGATCGGTGGATATGAATTACCCACTAAGACTAAAGTGATGGTAAACGCGTGGGCACTTGGAAGAGATCCTGAGTACTGGTATGATCCTGAGAGCTTTAAACCAGAAAGGTTTAATGATAATTGTATTGATTTCAAAGGGACAAACTTCGAGTATATCCCTTTTGGGGCAGGAAGAAGAATATGTCCTGGCATTTCATTCGGATTAGCCAATGTTGAGTTTGCTCTAGCCAAATTACTCTACCACTTCAACTGGGAACTCCCACAAGGAATGAAACCAGAGGACTTGGATATGGATGAAGGATTTGGAGCTGTGGTTGGAAGGAAAAACAACCTTTGCTTGATTCCCACTCCTTACAATCCTTCAATTCTTGATAATGCCAAATGAGGCACCTTCCTTTGCACCGGCGAGTCTTGCTGCCTCTTCACCTTCCTTTGCACCGGCGAGTCTTGCTGCCTCTTCTTTTTCTTTTTCCTTTTTTAAAAAATAAATAAATCATTGTAAATAAAATATGAAGCAGATGCAACTTGCACTTACAAAGTCAACACCTTTCTTTTCATGTGTGCCTTGTTTATTATTTCTTCATATGCCATGTTTTTATTTTAGTTGAACTTTGCTACAAAACGTGTAACATTAATTCCAGATTTGCAATTTGATTATGATTGACGCAATGGTTTTGTCATTCAGAAATCACGGGTTGAAATCTGAATATGTAATGGCTCCACCAAGCAAAGAGATTGGAATCCTGAAAATCGGAAAAGCACCAGTTTTAAAATCCTGAAAATCCTGAATAAGACAAAGTACGCTGGCACTGACAAGGTTCATTTCAAATCGAGTAAATACTTATCAATTTTCACTGCTTTAGTCTCAGCAAATAAAAAGGTCTATTGTGTTTTTTAATAAATTCAAAATGGATCCATTTTAATTTTTTAGAACTAATTTAGGTCTTTTTTGAATTTGTGAGGGAGCACGATCTCAACTAAATAGCTTCATTTTAATTTTTTAGAAAAGCCTTTTTATTTGCTAGGGACTAAAATGAACGTTTGCTGAGGATCAAAAATAATATTTACTGTTTAAAATATTTGTTGGGTTCCGGAAATTGAGGGAGCATAAGCTCTTATTATTTGATAAATATTTTGGCACCCCTTTCTTAAGATGTACTAAACTGAAAGCAACGCAACAATTTAATTTTCCACAAATTAACGCTATCGGTAAAGGAATCTTGACAAAATAATAATTTTATCAACTTCATTAGTCAAGGATGGAAACAATAAAATTAAGGGTTTGTATTGAATTGGAATTTTAAAGGATTATTTTTGGAAAAAAACTCCATTGATATTCAATTAGAATTTTATGAAGTGTTTGGTAGAGGAGAAATTTTTTTTGTCCGAGAATCATTATTTTCGGAAATATAACTAAAAATAAATTTTTTCAGAAATATTATTAAAAAGTTGTTTGGTAGAGCAAAATTTTTCTGGGATTATTTGATTAAATTTACTATGTGTTTGATTAATTGTGAAATATTAATGGAAATATATGATTATTCTTCACTTTTTTATTGAAACATGATAACATTGTTCTTAGTCAGAGAAAAAATGGATCTGGCTTTTCAAAGGAAAAAAAACGTTGCTCTTGAGTCTCACTGGGAAATTTTTAAGGTACTACCGTGGTACTATTTATTCAAGGAATACCAATCACAAAAAGAAAGAAGATGAAAGTGAGATAAAAAAAGAAAAATAAAAAAATAAATACAAGTAGTACTATTTATTCAAGGAATACCAATCACAAAAAGAAAGAAGATGAAAGTGAGATAAAAAAAGAAAAATAAAAAAATAAATACAAGTGGCAAATTTTGAAAGGAAGTGATATATGCGACGGTGACCCCAAAAGTTTGCTCCATTTTCTGAAAGAAAAAAATTTCTACATAGTTTGTTCAGAGCTCTGTCATCAGAGCTGGAATGTTTGAAATTTCTACCAAGGCAGCGTTTTGTGTCAGAACCATTAGTAAGCGTTTGTGTCAGAACCATTAATAGCTATATGGCTACAATAGTGAAGTTACGCCAGAAAAATCAGCTGTTTTGTGTCAGAACCTTAATAAGCGTTGCTGAACCAGCTTTCTTGTCTGGTTTCTTGACAAACCTCACTGGGCAACGTCATTTTAGGGTTATTTTCGTCTAATTCTTCATGGTTTTTTCTGATTATCCGGGAAAGGAAGAATACTAACAAATGTGTGGTATTTTTTGGTTGATAAACATTGTCACTTTTACACAGCAGGTCAAAATCCAGGCAAAATATTTTTCCCGATAAAATCTTCATGTTTTGGTTACCAAACATTGCATTCCAATTTACCAAATCTGACTTTCTCAGATTTTTTAAAATAAACTTGGTACCAAACACCACCTTATAGAATTGAAAAAAAGTCACGTGATATTCGATTAAGATTTTCAAAGATTATTTTCGACTCTATTCAAATCCGTTGGTATTCAATCAGGATTTTAAACAAAGGAAAAACAATATTGTGGTATTCAAAAAATCTGACGCTTTTAATGGATTTTCTATTGGTGTGAATTTCGTGAGACTTTTTAGTAAGAAATATAAATAGGATGCCTCTCTCACAAGCTCACCATAACCTTAAGATTTTTTGAGATTTTTCTATTGCAGCGTCTCTTCTTCCTTTGCCGGGTCGATCCGCTCGAAACCGGGTTCCGCACGGAGCTTCGTCAAAGCTCAAAAATAACATATTTTTGAGCGATTTTTATCACAAACCAACTCAGAAAAAAGAACCCAACAAGATTTTAATTTAATCCATCTCAAAAACAGCAGATTTTGGAGCAATTTTTTAGAATTTTTGAAATTTAAAAAATGATTTTTCAAACTGTTGGTCATGATTTTTCTTAATATAAAAATGTGTGATTTTTATATTAAAAACAACATAAAACAGTGGGAAAATAATAAGGGAACAAAAACTCCCCAAACCAATTTTCATTTTACGTCAATAAAATAAGATCGATTTACAGAAAAATTGAAACTCTTGGAATATGAACGCTATGTTTCATAACAATACATTCATGAACAAAATTTCTTCGCTATAGAAAATGATTTCAAACAATTTTTGTGTCAATAGATCACTAAAAACTTATTTTTCGAAAACCCCAAACAATTTAAGGTTTCAATCTATCGATTAAAAATAATTTGAGAAATTTTCGTGTAACAAAACCTAGAAATTCATATTCAAAGTTTTATTGGAATACTCAATGGAAACGTGCATATGATATATGTTAGAAAATTCTCATCACGTAGAACAAAAATCCCAAGGTTTACAAGATCAATTGCAAAAAATTTCAAACAAAAATTTATCATGAATTTTTCTAATTGAGAAAATTATATTATGTTTTACTTTTTTTTTATTATATCATTGCATTTCTTTGTTAACTTTTTTTATTGACTCTTGTAATTTTGAATGTTTGTTAAAAATTCATATGATTTTTTAAAATTTTATAAATCTATATTGTCCTTTCAAATCTTATAAATTATATTGAAATCCTTAAAAATCTAATCTTATGAAATCCTGATTGTAAAAAAAGTCTTTAAAGTCCCTCCATTTCTGAAAGTCTTTTAAAATATATAAGATTTTTTATTGAAAAAAAAATCTTTTAAAATTCTAATCCAATAAACCCCCTAAAAGAACTCACATAAAAAAAAATTACTAAATCTTCTTCAATGGTTGATTGGTGAGTTTGTAATTTCCAAGTATATCATGGCTAATTATTCTCACTAAATAGACTTATACTTTTAAGTAAATTTCTAAATATAAAAGTATAACCGGCAAAGTTGAGCATCCATGGTTGCTTTGGTCAAGGTTTGAACATTTGCAAAAGCAATTTTTGAAATTCTTTGGGGTCAGAGGAAAAAGATCCTCTTCGATAGGGAATTAGATTCATCATTTCTCTAGTGACGGAGGTTCAATGCACCCTTTATTTCAATGAGGAGCTAGCATTAGGGGCCATACTCCAAGAACAAGGTGGCTGAAGAAGATTGAAAGGAGATACCTCCTTGTTTTCTACCAAAAAAGAAAATAATGCATGAATAATTACTATTTTATTATTGAGAAGTTAATTATTCCTATATATAGAGAGTAACTACAAGTTGTAAATGAAGTTTTAAATGTAAAGATAGAAGTAGTTTAGAAGAAGTTCATAAATGATTATTACTTGTTATTCTTATAGAGTGACTAATTGTACATTAAAAATATTTTTGTCTCAAGTAAAATTTAATGGTCCTCTGTTTAAATAAAATTAGGATGATTATCTAAAATAATTTGAACTTCTTATATCTCTTAAAATTAAATATGTATTGTTAGCTCCTTAAGATGAATTTTTCCTAGAAATATCAGTTGCAACTTTCAAACACCCACTTTTTTATACTTCATGCAATGAAATTACAATCTTCCTTCTTGGTCATCACGTGTGCCCTCTTCTTTGATGATTTTGCTTGCAAAGAATCACAAACATAAAATCAAAGCAAAGATTGTAGTCCATAACTTGTCCCCATAAGCCCCAAAAAAGTAAAAAGGCCGTGGATGGATTGATCCAAGAGCAACAGTAGGAACGGACACTTTCACACGCACTTTACATCACTTCTTATTAAATATCAAACTTGATTAATTTTTTATTTATGATTAACTAATGTGTTTGTGGAAAGATTTTTTTTATTAAGTCAAAGTAATTAAGTGTTTGATAATAGGTAAATTTATTAGTTAAATAAATTTGATATTTAAATGATAGATATAACGTAATGTGACGTGTGTAGACGAATAAGCGCGTACTTATTCTTGATGAAATTGCAGGTCTGTTCTGTTCACAAATGAATCAATCAATTTTCAATTATGCTGAATGCAGTTTCATCCTTCTCCAAGTAAGCCTATTAATGGCCATTGGCCTATCATGAGTGACAGAGAATTATTTTTATTGTTTTCAACTGCCAATAAATCAAAACTGTAAACTTTAATTCGGCGAGGTTCCGTCCCCAGCCAGCTATTGTTCTATATGGCTGAATGTAACTCTCAAATGCATGGAACAAAACAAAAAGAAGAACGAATAGGGAACCATGTTAAGTTAGTAAAAAATGAATTTGTCTTCATAGCCGAGATTCCTTGCATAAACTACCGCCAACAATTGCTTGTGTCAGGCCTTCAGTTGACTTATTTTTCGCATGCAATGATTTCCGTTATTTGATGTGACGAATTAAAAATTACGTAATTAACTAGTGTCGGTTACACACATATATATATTTTATATAAAGAGAGCAACCTCAAAGACATGTTTCTCTAAGTTATTGAAAAAAAATCCTTCACAAACAATTGGATCTACTACCCTTCATGCCATGGAAGTCCAATCTTCCTTCCTAGTTATTATTACCTTCCTCCTCTCACTCTTAATGCTTTGGCTTGCAAAGAACTTCAAGGCAAAGAGTCTGCATAAACTTCCACCAGGGCCATGGAAGTTACCTCTCGTAGGGAACCTGCATCAGCTAGCAGCAGCAAGCTCACTTCCTCACCGTGCTCTCCATGAACTAGCCCAAAAATATGGACCGCTGATGCACCTACAACTAGGTGAGATTTCTGCAGTGATTGTATCATCCCCAAACATGGCCAAGGAAATAATGAAAACACATGATCTTGCCTTTGCTCAGAGGCCAGCATTTCTTAATGCTGATATTTTAGCCTATGGATCACAAGATATAGCATTTGCTCCATACGGTGATTATTGGAGACAAATGAGAAAAATATGTACGTTGGAGCTTCTAAGTGCTAAGAGGGTTCAGTCATTCTCCAATATTAGAGAAGATGAGGTAGCTAAACTCATAGAAACAATTCAGTCATCTGCAGGTGCGCCAGTCAATCTCACTAGCATGATTAACTCTTTCGTAAGTACCTTTGTTTCTAGAACAGCTTTTGGTAACATATCTGAAGACCATGAAGAATTTTTATTGATGGTAAAGGAAGCAATAGAATTGGCAGATGGCTTTGATCTTGCTGATCTGTTTCCTTCTTTGAAACCATTGCATCTAATAACTGGGATGAAAGCCAAATTGGAGAAGATTCATAAGAAGCTCGACAACATCTTGGAAAAGATTGTAAAGGAAAATCAAGTAAAGCAAATGAGAGCAAACAAAGGCACGGGAGAAGAAAAGAACGAAAATCTTGTTGAGGTTCTTTTAAGAGTCATGCAGAGTGGAAGCCTTGAGACCCCAATTACAATCAACAATATCAAAGCTGTGATTTGGGTTAGTATGTCTGCCATAACGTGTCATCAAATTTTTGAATTCTACATGAGATCATTCACATATATAATTCCCTTTTGCTATGCGTATGCAAACAAGTATGTTAATAAATTAATGGCATCACTAATTTGTTCTTGTTATGAATGAAAATCTGAGACAATATACAATATTATCCACAGGATATATTTGCTGCTGGAACGGATACTTCAACAACAGTACTGGGGTGGACTATGTCAGAAATGATGAGAAACACAAGAGTAAGAGAGAGGGCACAAGCTGAGATTAGACAAACTTTGAGAGGAAAAGAAACAATCCATGAGACAGACATAGGGGAACTTAGTTACTTAAAGGCAGTAATAAGAGAAACCTTGAGGTTACACCCACCTCTTCCTTTGTTGCTTCCAAGAGAATGCAGGGAAGCATGCAGGATCGGTGGATATGAATTACCCACTAAGACTAAAGTGATGGTAAACGCGTGGGCACTTGGAAGAGATCCTGAGTACTGGTATGATGCTGAGAGCTTTAAACCAGAAAGGTTTAGTGATAATTGTATTGATTTCAAAGGGACAAACTTCGAGTATATCCCTTTTGGGGCAGGAAGAAGAATATGTCCTGGCATTTCATTCGGATTAGCCAATGTTGAGTTTGCTCTAGCCAAATTACTCTACCACTTCAACTGGGAACTCCCGCAAGGAATGAAACCAGAGGACTTGGATATGGATGAAGGATTTGGAGCTGTGGTTGGAAGGAAAAACAACCTTTACTTGATTCCCACACCTTACAATCCTTCAATTCTTGATAATGCCAAATGAGGCACCTTCCTTTGCACCGGCCAGTCATGCTGCCTCTTCTTTTTCTTTTTCTTTAGAAAAATAAATCATTGTAAATAAAATATGAAGCAATTGCAACTTGCACTTGCAAACACCTTTCTTTTCATGTGTGCCTTGTTCATTATGCCATGTTTTGGTTGAACTTTGCTGCTAAACGTTTGTAACATTACTGCCAGATTTACAATTTTATTATGATTGACGCAATGGTTTTGACTTTCAGAAATCACTGGTTGAAATCTGAATTTGGAAAACATCTTTGGTACTACTGTCATACTAAGCGGTGGACATTACGACTTTCGTTCAAAATGAAATAGACATAATATTAAAGTTATTTTTTTCACTCTCTTTAAGAAATATGTCAGCAAAAATATTATACTTCTATTGGTGGGATGTAGACACTACTTAAGTCTGGCTTCACCAAGCGAAGAGACTGGATCCCTGAAAATCGGAATAGCACCAGTTTGACCATCCCCTCTATAAGACAAAGTATGCTGGCACTGACAAGGTTCATTTAAAATACTTGTTGGGTTCCGGGAATTGAGGGAGCATAAGCTCTTATTAGCTGACAAATATTTTCGCACCCCTTTCTTAAGATGTAATAAATTTAAAGCAAGGCAACAATTTAATTTTTCACAAATTAACGCTATCAGTAAGGGAATCTTGCTAAATTAATAATTTTATCAACTTCATTAATCAAGGATGGAAAGAATAAAAGAACTCACAAGAAAAAATTACTAAATCTTCATCAATGGTTGATTGGTGAGTTTGTAATTTCCAAGTATATCCTGAGTAAATAAGTTCGTTATCCAGAAATTTTGACTGTTACCGGAACGGAATGGAACAGCAGCAAACGAAGCGTGACAAACAAACCACCACGAAGTTCTCATGAAATCAGCCTATGGAGGAAAATTGAACCAAAAGGACGAGTATAATTTGGTAAAATGAAGAAGATGTTGATTTATGGGAATAGCGAGGTTTTCAGAATACATTACATCAATATATGAAAGAAAAAATATCAAAGCAATAACCGCAAAAAAGGAAATCATAAAAAATTTTGTTGCTTCATTTGAATTTAAGAGTTATTAAATGTAAAGCGTACAATTTGTGCTCCAACGAGCGGCACTGTTACTATCATCCTATCACTTGATCACTCACACCAACACATATTAATGAAGGAATATTTTATTGAGAATCTATATCCTAGAAATAATAGAGGACCCGCAGGAACAACTAAGCCAAGGTCCAGATGGTCAACTACAAATGTTTGCTTGATTCTTTCTTCTATCTAAATGGATGCTGATCAAGGGTATATATACATAAAAAAAATCTATTTACTACCAAAATTGGATTACTCCACATTTGCCAACATATCCACAAGGAGTCAGAGCACGGGGATTAAAGTACTCTTCCGCCTGATACCACAAAATTACCTTGAGAAGAAACAATTTGAAAAGTTCAGTTTCAAGACCTCACCAATTATGCAATTGAGAAGTAATGCTTTTCTCAATAGGATGATATTGAGTGTGCATGTATCTCCTGGCTTTATCAGAACCAGGCTGCCCAAGCCACTTGTCATATAAGCCTTTAATAATGGGATTATCGAATGGTGCTGCTACCCAAACCTAGCATATAAATAAACATAATCATTATCTGCTTAAAATTCTGAACAGCTCAAAGGAAAAAAAACAGAGCAACAAACTCCAGTAAGATTATTCACAAACTAACCAGTTTGAAGCAAGAATCAATTTATTAATTTTATAGTTAACCATTTCAATATCCAAAGGTTTGTACCACATTAACGAATAATGGGGTCAAAATCAAAATCAACAAATATCGGTGCAGAGGGATAGGGAAGCAAATGTGGTAAGAGCATTATATAGTACTGCTTGTCCTACAAGAATCTGAGCAATGTTTAGACTTTCGATGTTCCCATTAACACAAATACAGACAAACGTATGCATCTTTATGCAAGTCAAACTTGTAAGGAAAGAGAGCGCAACTAAAAATACTAGCTAGTCTGAGATAGTACTCACATTTTCCATGTAAACCGATTCCACTAACTGACTCAGTTCTCTAGGAGATTGCCCTGGATTTGGTTTAATTTGACCTCCCCCATTTAAGCAACCTGCTTTCAATGAGCATTCTTTTTCAGTTCAATACCTACTCAATTTCTGGGCCTCGCGAAGAAACCAACATTGAAAACAAACAAAAATCAGCAGATGAACAAAATTTCAGATCAAGGAAAAACACAGTACCTGAAGGGCATGCCATGATTTCAAGGAAATGATAATCACATTTCCCAGTTTTAAGTTTTCGTACAACATTTTGTAGGTTCCGGAAACCATAACAGAGAGCAAATTTCAACACAGTTTTTCCCTCCACCTGCATAGACAATATGGCATGGCATTATATAAATATAAACAATATATACCCAGAGAAAATAACTCTAGCTATACAGGGCATAGCAAGCCCCTAAATATATCTTCCAGTTATACCACACACTTCATCACAGTAAGCATAGATCGAGGCTGGAAGGAATAATCATGCACTCGTATTCATGTAAAAATGATGACTTTCAAGAATAAAAGAGAAAAATTTAACAAAACATCATGCCTGGAAACTGCTACAAATTTATGTCATTAAGAAATGGTTCTTAAAAATCTACTTATTCCAATTTGTTATCATGCATAAATACTCAGCACTTCTATAGGTAGATATTCGCAGGTCCAAGGTTCTGATAACAGCCTTCCTCTCAAGCATAAAAATAATATTAACAACTTCATAAGAACTTGCCTCAAGTGTAACTTCCTGAAAATCTGAATTCTTAATGTTTTTAAAGTTCAAAGGGTCATCAATCTGTCTTCCAAAAAGTGTTTTAGCAGCATATCGGAATATTGTTTCTGCATAACCTCCAGAGCTTCCGTGGACCCCATAGAGGTATCCTTCTTCATTAATATTTGTTAGCCTGCAAGCACCAATCTATATCTGAACACCATTGTTTGACAACAAACGAAATAAAACAATGGATGTGATTATTAGTTTCTTACAGTTTGTCCAGAGGAGGCTCTTCTAAGCTTTTAAAATCAACTTCTTTTGACTGTAAGATTGAACCCGAAAAGGTATTAATATACATATCATTCATTAAATGTGAAAGGATTCACAAAAAAATGAGGGTATGCATGGAAACTTCTAACCTGAATCAATTCCAAAACCTCTCCAGTTGTCAACACTGAATCTACCTCCGAAATCATATTAACTTCACTCTCATGCCCTTCCAATTCGAAAACAAAGTCATCCCTAGCAGCCTCAAGCTTTTTGTCATAACAAGGCATCACGGTGACATGGTAAACTTCTTCTGGCCTGTTAAAACAATTACTCAAGCATTTCACTATGCATATAACTCTGGAAATTGCAGCATGCCAAAATCATCATCAAAAGATTAGGGGATCCCCCACAACTTCACACTATATGTATGTATTTTTCCAGCTCAAATTATAATTTGGATTAATATGCAACCTGAGTCCCATATCTTGGCATACATAGTTCTTTATGATGGCTCCAATTGCTTGCTGGGGACTCTTTACTGTTGAAATGTAAGGTAGAACAAAGGATCCAAGTTGCTTTTCTGCATAGCATATCCAACCTGCACATAGATGTTCACATCACATCAATAACCAACTGGTCAGTATTTTTTCCCCTTATCTACTCCTTACTAACAAAAATCTATTTTTCAAATTTAAAAGTAATTTTGCTCCCCCAACCCATATTTCTAACTCGAAAAATGAAATATCATGAAGCAATCACAATAGAAACAAGGAGCCATGTCTGTGACAAAGACAGATCATAGTCAATACAATATCCCGAAATAACAGCTTAATTTCCTATATCCAAAGTCAGAAAAAATAAGTTGAATCATCCAACATTTTTTCGAGACCTTCTACACAAGTTTAGACACATATCAAATTTAACCCCTACAAATGTATCTGTTGATAACTTAATATGTTATGTAGTTTTTAATACATTACAGTGTTGTGTTTATATATTTTGGATTTCCCATAGTCAAGTGTACATACTTCACAGACCATAGTTTTAAATAGCGGGTAGCGGCTGACCCCAAAAACGCTATAGCAGTATAGCGGGTAGCGGTAAAGCCGCTACTGTGAAGTCCGTATAAATATTTATAATAAATTATACCACATATATAAATGCTATATAAATGTTATAAGATAAGAAATCACCCAAAATAGGAGAAAATGGGGAATGGAAAGTATAATACTACACATTCAAAACAAGGATTCAAGGAACACAAAGGAAGCAAAGCAACATACTAGTTCATTGAAAGTAGTAAATAGGATATACACTAAGCTGAATTTGATAAAAAGAAAATTATGTATATAAAAAAAAAAAAATTTAATAATTGAGCAATTGAATTCGTCTATACATAGTTTTTTTTTTAATAAATAAATTAAAGTGAACATATTCATAAATATTTTATTTTTATAATAAAATAAATGTTTCCTCTTTAAAATATATCTATTTTGTTTAATAATTGAGTATAGCTAATCATTCGAATTAATTCATATTTTTTTAAATTCATTGAACAGATTTATAAATATTTTCACTTTGCAATTGAAAAACTTAAAAAAAAAATTCGTTTAATAATTGATTATAATTAATCAGTTTAATTAATTTATGTGTACTGTATTTTTAACTTTCATTGAACAAACTTATAAATATTTCCACTTTACAATAAAATGAGTGTTGTAAAAATTAAAAATAGGGTTAGCAGTCTTCAAAAATTATGTTCCTGATAAGCAACCGCATGTGACACCCAACAGACAAGTAAGCCGTGTGATTTATTTATTTTCACACTCAACTCAACAGACAAATAAATATCTAATTTACCCTGCCTTTTCCCATTATACCCTTAAATGATAGTCAAATTTACAAAACACTGCCACCCCTTTTGACATTTCGTTTTCTCCCAGTAACTCTTTTTCCTTTCCCTGAAGAGCTGCCATCCGCCACCGCCGCAACCGGCCGCTACCAGCTGCTACTGGAAACCGTCGTGTTTTGGTGCGGAAATAGCGGCTGGGTGCCGCAACCCTCAACTGAAGCGCGATAGCACACTAAAGTGGCGCTATTTTAATCATAGTCACAGACACAATTTGCAAAAACTATGATAACTTGAACTTTTATACCTGGGCATGCTGATGCAATCATAGGTAGGGTTGATTTACTCCTCTCATCATCAACCAATTGATTCTGTTGATACCTTGTGATGAATTCCACACAAGATTCTACAAGGGTCAAGTCTCTGCTGCAACTTGTATCAAAAATTGCCTTCACTCCCAAGGATTTAAAAAATCTTGTGAGCTTTTTGAAAGCCTGAAATAGCAAGAGTTTTACTCTCAAACCAGGAGGAACACGAAAAAGTTTGGAATTTTCCCCCCAAATTTACTTCAAATGAGAACCGTATGAAAAAAATTAAGAGAGAAATTATGAGTGAAAGCAATATCCAAAGTGGCACCTGAAGTGGAGAAATGCCAAAATAAGCTGCAATTGAAGCCCTTGACTGGGGCGAAAGAGACACAATCACAGTCTTTCCTGCATTAATATTGGACAGAAACTCATCCAAACTTTGCTTCTCCAGCATAACTGTCTCCGCTGATGTGACACATCCACTGCATTACCAGACAAATAAATTATGATTCCACATACAACTAATACTTTGACATTATCAACTACATCACAAATTTAAGGAGCACAATCAACTTATGAACCATACAAAACTTAGCACTCTCATCATATGTTTTCGACTTGTAAAGAAGCAATTTGAGCACTTCATATTCTTACATACCAAACCAATACAGGCCATACATACTTAAAAGTTATCAATAATAATGCTACAGAACCAGAACTTACGGGTTTGAATTCATTCGCCAAATAATGTGATTTTCATTGATTTTCAAGGGAAAGTTCTCTGGATTGTCCCAGGTGGTAATAGCAGAAAGGTGTGAATAGTTATGCTATTCAGGACTATATGATGCTAACTACAGAAAACAAGTGATCACAGGTCACAGCCGTTTAGGTTAAGACCATGTAAATACGTTGCTCATATTTGAGTTGGTCACACAACGTAGTGGAAACTCTAATTGAAAAGAAACACAGAACTTACAAAACTTCTGAAACAAAAAACCTACAAGGATGAAGTCTTACATGGTGACTTAATTGCTATGGGTGACTATTTAATTTTCTTTTCTTCTCAGACAGTTATTACATTTGTTTTTCGTCGTTTCCAATTATAGTGCCGATCAGATATGATGCATCAGTGATGAAATTTACTGAAACCTTCTCTTTATTTTCTCTATTCTCTCTCACGTTGCTTTTGATCACCGGAAGTATATTCCTCTCCAACATTTCTTTGATTGATAACCTTAATTACCCTCGGATTCACAAAAATTCCTGACTAATTTTCTTTTATCTAAATCCCTGCAACATGAAGCCGCAAAGTATTTTTCACTATGCAACAATCTTTACTTATTTACCAAATACAAAATACGCAGACAATTACACTAAGAAAACATATCCGTTAAATAGTAAATTCCCTCACACACCCCTAATGGTGCGTATATAAAGCGGAGAAATAGAGAGAGACAGACTAACCTGCATGCCAAACAATCCTTGAGCGAAATTTTAACAGGTTCTGACTTCACTTGCTTGTTAGCAATTGAAACCTACAGTGAGAAAAAAAAAAAGTTTCCTTAGGATTCACAACTAATGAGTAAAGTAATATGATTATATTACGCATCACAAGCAAAAAAACATAAATTTATTCCAAATAGGAGAAGAAGTGAATATGAAGATGAAGAGAGTGTGATACCTCGGGTTTATCGGCCTTTTTTAATCCCTTGAGGGAGACTATGCATGCCTGTGACGGCGCTATGAAATCGTTGAGATCTCCAATCCGAAGCGCCGCAGAGAATTTCTCCGACATCTCTGACAAGTGGTCAACGATTTCTTTCTTCAGATAATTTAACAGTACCCAGTAAGTTAATGAATAAAGGGTGTCCAAAAAGAATCCAAAGTTAGGGTTTTGATTAGAAAGGGGCGGAGTTCGGGCACAACCACAAATACAGTATTTGGTTTCCTCGTTAGGTCAAATGAAGAGAAAGAGATGAAAAAAAGAGGAAGAAATAAGAGAAGAGATGCTATTCTGTGAAGCGTGAGTTTGTGTTTAGGGTATTTCGGCCAATGAAAATTCAAGAAAAATGAAAATACCAACATCGTTTGGGAGGCACGTGTCATCCACGTTCCACGTTCCACGTCACGATTAGATTAGACTGCACCACAATTTCAACTTGGTCGGTTGGTCTCTCTCACTTCATCACACATCTTGCTAAACTTGATTAGGCATCAATTACGTGGTTAACCATCATACTCATACTTCGTTAAATAGCATTATGTGTTGGAATCAAACACAACATATTAACATAATGAGTTATATTTATCTCATTTAATATAATATATATTAATTTTTATACACACATAATAAAAGTGGATCACGTCTCTATTTTTTTTCTCTTTTAATTGTTTGTAGGTTCCTCCTATAATTTTGTTTCACTAACATAAGATAACTTATTTACAACAACATAAAAAAATATTTCTCTATCTTAATATACCAATTTTATTTTATATTTTATTTAAATTTAAAATAAATCTGAACATTAAAGTAAAAACAATTATATTTTAATTTCACTAAAACAATTAAAAGCAAAAAGATTGTAACAAGAATATAACTTTTTCATTTTACTTGGTTGATTCTTCCATATTTTAACATAATAATAATTTTTTAGTAAATAAATATTTCTCATATTATATAAGAAATCTCTTTTTCTACCAGCCTCATTTCGATATATATGCCATTCATTTTTTTATTTTTTTTAAGATAAGCTCTTTTTTTTTTCTCTTCGTACAAAAAGTTTAACTACAACATGAGAAATTGCAAGCACGTTATAAGTGCATTCACTGAAAAAATCAATGGTGATATTACACATAGGCAAACATATGTATTAAACTTAATAAGTATTAAAATGATGTACTTTCAAAAGTATATATTTATAATCCCAATATCGCACTAAGTTTTTGATGCTACAGTCGTAGCAAAATTGCTCTCAGTGCATTCACCAATAAATTTTGAATTCTTGCCCTCCCTTTTCTATTATAATTTCTAAAGATTGATCACGTAGCATATCATGATGAAGTCATCTCTAAAACATTCTTACGCAACCGCGCTATATTTCTATACCAACATAAAAAAGGTTGGACGAAAGTTGTGAATAATAATAATAATAATAATTGAATATCCTACCTCTTTAATTTTAACACATTAGGTTCGTGACAATCTTTAATTTTAACACATTTGCTCCGGGGAGTATTTGATAGAGGGAAACAAATTTTTATCAAACAATTATAATTATTGGGAATATGATGAAAAAGTGAATTTTTTAGAAAAATTAAAAAAAAAATTATTTGATAGGCCGATATATTACCAAAAAAATTAGTTTAAGTTTCTTGAGTCTATGCTTAGTTGAAAGTAAAATATTGCTAGAAAAATGAGGTAAAATTACGAAAATAACTCTTGACCAAATAATATTACACGATACACGAATAAGATTAGAAGATGCATTTTGCCGATAATCCCAAAATACCACCTTCGAGGTGGTATGTGTTTTCAATCACAATTTTCAACTAAATTACAAATTGACAAATCATTTTACTGGATGAATTTTTTTAAAACTTGTACTAAACATGCATAACTTGAAATATTATTCTCACTTGCATGCACATTTGAACAAAAAACTCTTATCCCCGGGTTAATTTTGCCTTTAAGAGGAGAATCAATAATATCCTCAAGATCAGTGACAAAAATGTTAGCAGGACAAAATATCATGCCAAAGTTTGCTTTGATCATTGAGCGCTACCCGGAAATCTCATGTTGCCATCATCATTCACCACCACTTTGTTTCATAAATAGCAAAGAGCCTTGTAAATTAGAAAACTAACATATTGACCATGACCAAGAAAGAGAGTGGTGAAAGGGGTAAGTTGTTATTTTGATGAAAGCATGGTAGATAGATCCTAACCTACCAACTTGCATTTTTGTTATTTTTAGCGCCATACAAACGGAAGAGACTAAAAGCAGAAATATAAGACAGGACCACCATACTAAGGCTAACCAAAAAAGCACTAGTTATCCCTTGTCCAGCTTGGTTGCAGAATTTCCCATACATGTTGCATATCTTCATCCATTGAAGTTCTGGTTGACCCATGTTTGCAAACACCGCGGATTGCCCTGCAGCCGCCACTGCAGCCACTGTCACATATGCCATTACCTGAATAAATAGGAAAGTTCAATTTGTCCTGGTGAATTATGTTATTGTTGTGTAATGTATAGTACCTATTTAACCTATTGAGTTTTATTCCCTTAAAACTAAAATGAATATAAAAACATTTCTTCAAGAAGGGACTATACTGTATACAAGTTGTTATTGCTGAAATATAAATGCTTGGGTCACTCCCAGCCAAAAATTTATATTCTCAACAACCAGCAGGAATTTGTGATCCCAAATATGGGATTAATTAAGTCTGCCATACGGTGAGAATGAGAAACTCTCCTCTTCTAGTAGTATCATCATGTACGGTTTCCTTGAGGTCCCACAGCACCAGTTACCCGTGCTTGACAAGGCAAATTTGATGTCATTATTATGGATTGCTATATACAAATCTGAGCCTTGACTTCAGAACATAACCACAAACCCGACCCTACTATGAGATTCTTACACAGGAAGGCATGCAAAGAGCATATAGTTACCACGGACAGAATCAAATGTTTGAATTGAAAGTCGATCACATAAACTAATCAATAGCCACTCCCTCCTCCTACAGTGGTTTTGTCTAATTAGTTTCATATGGATTCACTGTTCCATTTTAATGATCAATTTGATGCATTAGTTAATAAACGGTTGGGAACTTGGTGTGACAAACTCCTAGACAAATTAAAACTACCACCTGGTCTAGATTTTGGGCAATTGCCATATTTAGCTACCCAGATGTTAATAAATAAAAAATGCAGTGGGGGAACCCATAATATTGATACTTGGATTTTGGCCATAGTGCTGAGGATATATTTATTCTATGGCAGCGAGAAGAGTAGAAATATGTATGTACCTGGTCACCAGAGAAAATGATCCAAGCTAAGGGCTTGTTGAAGAGTACACTTCCTCTAACCATATTCACAACACAGCGCAATCCTTGGATTAAGGAGTAGCCAGCAGATAGCCCGTTGGCTACTACCAAAAACCTGCAGAATTTTGGCAATAAATATTAGCACAGAAGAAAATCAGGACATATATACCATTTTCAGACTGAAAGAGAAAAAATGAAGAGCTTACACTAAAGCCTTCATGTCTGTAAATTTAGCTCTCTTCTGAAAGGAGAAAAATTCTTTGACCTGGGTGTCAGTGCACACAAGAACAGTTGCAAGAACCCCTAGACCAAGGGTCACAAACCTTAACACCAACTCTGCTATCCTTACCCTCCTATCCAATACTTTGAGGTTTGAACTGTGGTACACTGGCACAGTCCCAGGGCTAACACCCACACTCAAATAACTCATTTTCCCTTTTAAAATCAGCACTTCAAAACAAGAAAGATAAAACAATATAGAAGAATATCTCGAACCAGCCCAGATGGTTAACCACTGAGCACTACGAATGAACGACCCTGAGAATTCCACTACTTTATATATATACACAGTTGTGTCCTATAAATTTCAAAATAGTGATAATGGAGCCTGGCTGCAATGCAACACAGCGTGCCAAGTGGTCAAAGCCTAAGGCTGAGAAGACAGAGAACACATTTAGACAAAGGCAACTCAGCATACAAATATGGGGTCATAATAGGAGCTGCTTCCACCTGTGGTTCTGTATTTAAGGGCTGCTAAATGAAAAGAAAATTGTGGTTTCTAAAGCTCCTTTTATCATTTCTAGAAAGGAGTAACAATTTATTGTCCCTAGAAAGGGTCTGACAAGGTAAGGAGTGCCTTAATTCTGATCATTTAAGGACGGTATGGTTCAGTTTTGTGATGTCAATTTCTTTTGCCTAGGCCATACAAACACATGGTATGTGAATACATGGCTCCTATTTTGTGCCATTTCTTTTGGAGTTTGGCAAATGATTTTAGAGTAAATACCAGTTTTCGTCCCTGACAAATTCCACGAAGCCCTTTTTGGTCCCCAGGAATTAAAAAGGGACCAAGTCGTCCCTGAAATTGTAAAAAACAAGCCACGTTAGTCCTTCTGTGAGTGAGACTCTAACGTCGTTACTAACGTTTCTTATGTGTATCGTTAAGTTGCTGAGGCACCATGGAAAAAGTCACCTGGACAAAAAAACGACGTCGTTTGATACCTTTTGACTTTTTTTCCTTTCATGGGAAATTGTCTGGACAAGCGGGAAAATGGTGAGATTCTTTTGTTTAGTTGAAAATTTAAGCAAAAGCATAAGAGGGACAAAGCTAATGAAGCAATTATTAAAGTTGTCTAGATGATTGATTTTTTTGCATCTTTTGGTGGGCCATTTGTTAGTAGGTTTGTGTTTGAGGCTGTGTTACATGGCCTCATCTTACCAAATTTTGTATATTATGTGACAAACTGAGAGTCCACATGCACAGTGCAAACCCTGCTGAGTATATAAAGCAAGGATGACCCACTATGTAACAACTACTTCATTTCATTCCACTAAGCACGACACTTTGTCAATTTAACTTTGAAACGTGATAGGTTTGCCCTCATATGTGTGAAAGGGAGTTATTTCCAATTCAAATTGCATAATTCTTCATCCTATGCTTCTTCTTATGTCAGTCAGTCTATCAGCAGTGAGAGGCAATCTTTCTTTCTACCCAGATTGGCATACTCCTCTCAATTCATATGCACGTAACTATACAAAATATAATTGGCTTATACCCTATCTAGTTTCTAGTTTACTTCATACATAACTTTTCCATTTCCACTACAAAACATGGCAGGTGCGATATGCCCAAAAAGATAAAAGTGAGTGCAGTTAAAAAATTTACATGGATCCAGTTACACTCAATAAAGATTTTAAAAATGTGAGAGAATCCAAATAACAAATGGCATTGCTCTTTCACACACAGTTAAAAAGTATTATTTCTCGACCATTGAAATTGCAGAAAAGTAGAAAAATTCAAGTCATTTCCCACGGTACTGCTACACATCAAGTGATGAAACAACAGGAATTTAGATACGCTCATAGAAAGAAGCACTGACTTCATTGCTCCTTCCAAAGTTCAACTGAAAAATATGATCTTTACTGTCTTCATTGTAAGAAAAGAAATTACTTCAAACTTTATTCAAGGGAGAAACTCAAACTTGCATGAGCCATGGCCTGCCATTGAACAAATAGAAGAGATATCATTTGCAATGATACTATTATAAATCAGATTAAATAAAATCAATTGATAATGTCTTATAATTAAATTCAAGGGTTATGTGCCCCATTTGGTATTCAGTGGCTTACTAATTGTTACTATGAATGAAAGGATAAAGCATTGAAACAACTTTTAATATTAACAAATCTAACATTATATCTATAGATGAGCTACGAGATATTATTTAGAGATCTTACTTGGGTCAAGATCAGTGGTAATTGCAGCAGAATTGAAATAGCAAGAGGCTCCCTTGTGCTTGAACCTCTGATAGTAACTGTTGAAGGCATAAGAGGCATGGTCCCTCATGGTATTTGGAAGGTAACAGGGATGGTTCACTTGTATTTTGCTGCAATCTGCTCCACCCTTTCCACAAGCCCAATCCAAGGCCTTCTTCAGCTCCTCATCTTGGGTTTGCTCATCAGCAATGCACCATTCCATAAACTGTCCTGAATTTTTCCAATTACTCAGCATCAAATAAGATATTACCGGAACCTTTGGCTTCTAACATATTAGAATAAATTCATGGTTTTTCACTCAAAAAACAGTGGCCACCTATTAAGCACAATTATATCTATTCTTTTAGTATAACTCCCTTTAAAACAATATTATGTAAAATATCTAGCAGGAATTGATAAACTTAGCTGAACACAAATAGATGTAATGCTGATTTTACCAGATGCTTGAAAAGATAGGGTCAAAAGGAGCAGAGCTATCAAAATTTTGAGTATTGGAGAACTCATTGTTCTTCAGGAGCTTCTCGGTATCTAACCTTGTACTATGTTTCATGTAATGCCAGACAAATATTTTTATAAGCGGTGCTCTCTTTATGTTGTTTCGTCACTCTCTTTTTTCAGATGCTGAGACACCAAGCTATGGTCCTACTTCCGTTCTTTCCGTGTATCGATAACTTGAAACTTTTTTTTTCTTTCTCTTGAATGTCTCTATCCCCATGATTTTGTCATACTAAATTTTTCGCTTTTCTTATACCCGGGTGTACGATATGGAGATCCTAATATGGTATCTCAAATTTTATTTTATTTTTTAATCTTCTGATAACTTGCCTAAAAAGAGTGGATAATTTCACATGCTCCACAAAGTAAATTAAGAGAACCTCCACAGTAGTACTTATAGGGATAAGTAATTCTGTGGCGTGGATCAAATAAATTATCTTATGTAATTCTTGTTTTGTTTAAGATTCTGATTTCAGTGTTCATTGTATAAGATATCAAGAATAAACAGTCCAGTAGGTCCATTCTAGACATATTTTGTTTTGCAATGAGGAATCTAGATGACCAATTTTCCAAGCAAGCTATAAGACTAAAAAGCAGAAGTCAGGATCCCTACAGGAACTGCAAATAGAGAAGTGATTCATTTTAATTGTTTATACCTTTTACATAAAAAATTCCATGTATTATGTTTTCTTTTCTAGGAGGGAAAAAAAAAAGAAAGCTACATCTTCTGATGAGTTGGATTAGGTGTATGCATGTATCATAAAAGCTTGAAAAAAGGCTTATGCTGTTGGGAGGATAATATACGAACCCAAAATTTGAAAAGCATACCAAACCAAGCTTTGTATGCTTTCCAAGAAGAAGCGTAAACAAACACTGGAATCCGCTTGTTGTCACTCTATTTTTGGGTTTAAATTTCTTTTCACTTTTTCTAGACCAGACTCTGCATTTTTTGCATTAAATCCCGGCATAATTATTGTAATCCTCACTAAAATATATATGTTTAACCAAAAAAAAAAAGACCTTCTAGCTCAGGACGCAAATGATAATATTACAAGTGAGGTTGGTTGGACTGTGTGAGTTTATCTCATACCCAAACAAACATAAGAAAAGACAATTTGGATTCATTGAGCTTTGAAGTCATCTTCGGTTGTCATATTTTGGTAAACCTTGTTGCATGAAAACCGTTTACTTGTTCAAAGGGACCTGTTCTTGTATGTATTCATGTAGCCAACACTATCTACCTTCTAGTTCCTTCAGTATTTACCTGAGGAATCACATCAGCGATCAAGTTATCTCATATGGGCCATATATCCATGATCATTTAACTCTAGTACAAAGATTGCGAGTTTGCCACTTTCCAATAATGTTGCAGTTATTGTGTATTCGTTGGAGATAACTTGATTTCCTGACGAAGCAAGAAACAAAATATAGTTGCTAGATCAAGTATTGAAGCATAATATCGTTCCATGGCCACAGCACAACATCACTCATTTGTGATAATCAAGTTGCTTTGCATATTGTTTCAACATCACTCATTTGTATTTTATGAAAGGACTAAACATATTGAGATAAACTGTCATTTTGTTAGAGAAAAAGTTCTTTTAAGAGATATAGTCACTAGTTTTGTCAACTCAAATGATCAATTAGCTGATGTATTCACTAATTCTTTGAGAGAAATTAGGATAGATCATATAAGTAACAAGCTTGGTGCATATGATTTATATGCTCTAGCTTAAGGAGGAGTGTTGTTATAAATAGTGTTGTAGAGGTCTCACATTATATACATGTCTTTGTATCTCTCATTTAGTTTGATATCTAAAGGATGTTGGAATTTATGAACAATAATTCATTGGTTATGAATAAGAAGTGGGTTAAGAAAGGAAAGAGAAAAGGGAAGATGAAGAGGTATGTGGATATCAACAAGTCCCACATTGGACAACTAGTAGGAAATGGGAGAGTTTATAAGCTCTCACCTCACTCTCTTATATTGACTCTTGGGTCACTACACATTTTGTGGAGGGGGAGGAGCTAGGTGTTTTTTGGTCCACCACACATGCGCGCGCTGCCGCCGTCCGTCCGGCTCGGCTTGGCTCATGTGTGTAATTTCGAACCCAAACGTTTATACCCGCCGATTTTTTGAGCAATTTTGAACCGAACTGGTTCTTCCCTTTCGCGAATCGGTCACCGGTTGTGCCTGCTCGCCGAACCAGTCACCGGTTGTACCCGTCCATTGAAACGGTCACCGGTCGCACCCGTTCCCCGCCGGCAGCGGTTCATCGTGACCGGTCAGTGTCTATCAGTGTTTATAAATAGACACTGACACCTTCAAAAAATGGATCCAATTTTTTCCTGCACTGAAACTCTGTCGGAATTTTTCTCCTTCCGGTTTGCATATTCCTGTTCATACTCCGGTGTAGTTTCCTCTGGCATTTTGTTGTGTTTGTTTGGGCTGTTGACTGATAGTGCCGCCACTCTTCAGACGAAATCCGTTCTATCCTGGGACACAAGTGTCCATTAACCTTAGGCATTAGTGAGAGGCAAATTGTCTTAAGGAGACACGTTCTGTGGGCTCGAATTTAATTTCTCTACTGCATACATTCATCTGTCTGATTCTTTATACTGACTACAAGTATGTTTGTTCTGATTTGTTTTAATTACACTGTATCTGATAATTCTGATTATCTACTTCCTTCTGTTCTTTACATGGGTTTAAACCTCTAGTGATTTAATATCATCCATTGTCTTCAATAACAAAGGAACCATCCTTTGTGTAGTTGACACAAGGATTACAATACACTAATACTTCTTGGTTATTGATATTTAACAGGTACAATTCCGTTATATTAAACATTTACATAATCTCTTTTAAGAAAAGGGTAATACTTTTCTTAAGTTGCATAAGAAAAGTATTATCTCCTACACTCACATTTTTTAAATGGGTCCTACAAGAATTTTTGTCTCTCATCTCTAACTCTTTTTTCTCTTCTATTTATTGTTTGAGTAGGAAATAGTACTTTTCTTATGCAACATAAGAAAAATATTACCTTAAAGAAAAAAAAAACAAGAAAGAAAGAAAAGAAAAGATTACTGACTATTGATGACAAGATATAAAGGACAGATGCTATAACTAAAAAAAGTACACTAAACAAGATTTTAGACCGAATCAAAGAAACCTATAACCGACCCGGAAAACGAGACAGATGGTTCATTGATATTCTGCCACTCACCAAAATTTTTGTAAAGTGGAAAGAAATGGTATTTGATTCGATCCGTATTATTTTAAATATTTTAAAATTAACCTGTCTTGTATTTCGGATTAGTTTCATAGACAGCTTAAAGAATCGAAGTTTATGGAAATAAGGAGAGCCAACTCGCTCAAAGAAATAATTAAAATTGGGTTAATTCAAAAAAAAAAAAAAACATTTCTAAACAGCTTTCCAGTTCATGTTATTTCAAACCTAATTTAATCTAGTACTGCCTAGCCATCATCACATATGCTGATTAATAGTTTAGTGCCAGGAAAAGAGGTATTATATATGAAGTCACAAATTAGACAAATTTGCATGTCACAGGTGAAGAGATGTATCGACACCAGAGTCAGAGCCAGAATCCCAATCATAAGCGTTCTTCCATAAAGCTTGTGTATGTGGACAATCTGTGAAGTTCAAGTTCATTGAGACTGGGGTCTCAACAGTTCTTCTGTTGTTCTCCTGTATGCCCTGCGATGCTGGCCATAGAGAAAGAGAAATATGGGGTGGTGACCTTGATGGGATGACCGATTCAGAGTGAAAAAACAACCTTGTTGGTTCATAAGTCTTAGTGGGGTTGGAATTCAAATGTTTAGGTTCAGTGCTGAGCATTTGCAGCAGCTCTCTCTCCTCCCTCATTTCTTTCACTCTTTGTAACTGTCTAAACCTCTCTTGTAGCAGAGCAATGGAAGAGTGAATGACTGTGGAGTCATGAATTTCCCTACCCATTATCTTGTAGTTGTGACTTCAAAAAGCAGGATGGTAGCTAGCAAGGAATGAGATCTAAGGTGCCATGAATTGCTTTACGTGTGTATTTATAGAGTGGTGACATGGTTAAGATTTTCTTTTTCTTTTTTTTTTCTTTTGTATAACAAGGAATGGTTAAGATTTTCTAATACTATAAATTATTCATTTTTAGTCCCTCCATAAAATTCATAATGATTAATAAAGGAATGAGAATCGGCAGCTAAGCTGCAAAGTCCAAAAAGAAGGTGTTGATTATTTCATAGCCTGTGTGTGTATAGTGGAGGAATTGCATCAGCATATCTCTCCTTTGTTTCAGTACAAAGGGGCAAAAGCATTGGTAAAGCAGAAAAGGACTGGCAGAATAGTCCAAGGCAATCTCGGAACTAGCAGATGGAAGGGTGTGATTGGAGGAATAATAAGATGAGTGATGCTACATGTCCTAAAACCCTCTTATTCAGCTTTGGGTTGGTGGTGTCTTTCTGGTTGGCCGTGTTTGGATGTCATATGATTTAAGGGAAAAATATATTTCATTTTAAAAGATATAAAATTATGTAATTTTAAGTGAGAGAAAGACATAAAATATAAGTGACAAAGATTGAAAAATAATAAAATAAAGGTTGCATTTCACCTCTTTGTGAAAGTAAAATAACATAATTTGTATCATTAAAAAGCACAAATATTTTTCCTATAATTTAATAAAATGTTAGTTTGTTAATGGATGAAATCTAATATTAGCCTCACAAATAGAGAATGCCTCAGATTATTTGGTGGAATTATCAAATAGCATGTTAGAGAAAAGTGTGTATCATATTTTAAAGAATGTAAAGTTGTGTCATTTTAATATTTTAAATAAGAGAAAGAGATAGATAAAGAAGAAAGAGAGTGGACAAAAAAATATAAAAATGTGGATTCCACTTCTTTGTGAGAATGAAAGGATATAAGTTGTATCATAAAAGGACAAACACTTTTTCCATGCATTATTTTATAATTTATTTTCCATTTAGATTTTTTTTTTTTTTGTACCCATTAGCCTTCTAACTTTTTCCTTTTGTTGGGAGAAGATGAATGGTGGCAGTTTAAGAGCAAAAAGACGAGGGTCATTGGAAGGAGGAATAATCTCGGCAGGTCATAATGCTTTGATCGAACAATTATGTATGACAAGAACGAACATACCAACATTCTTCTCTCTCTCCTCAACTCTATGCAATTTTTTTGTTTCCAAGTGTTTGGATGCGAATGGTATGCACAAATGGAAGTTTGCAAATACCACAAATTCTAGGATGGGAAATGCTAGCGACGCATTATTATTGACACTCTCTTTTTAATACATTCTTTATTGGGCTTATTTTTCTGCAACACAAAAGTAATGTCTACCTAATACAAAAAAAAAAAGTAATGTCTACCTCACATACAAAAAAATGAGATTCATTAAAAAAAATTTAAAAGAAATTATCAAGATCTGACGTGATATTCTAATAATTTTGTCTTTGTGCTAGATAAAGTATTTCTTCCACAATTCCAGAAATATTTTTGCCTTCTTTATTATTACATATGCAATTTCCCAAATTAGTTTCAATAATAGAGAGTAGGTATGGGTTATTTAGTGAGGCTAACATGAGGTTTTATTTGAATTAGTTTAATTAATTATGGTTATGAAAAGAAAATAGGTAAAGATTAAAAAAGTGTCTTGAAATGAGTGGAAGTACCACTGCTAAAAAAATAATATATTCAAAATAATTATTGATTTACCTTCAAAATATATATATATATATATATATATATGGGTTATATGAGTGTCAAGTCATTAGATATAAATTTTTGTCCAATCACTAAATCATAATCGTACAAAGATGAATTAATGATAATAAAGGAAGAGAAAAAAAAGAATCATAATCATACAAAGGTAAATAAAATAATATAAGGAATTAAATAAACAAAACAACATAGTTTAATCATGCCTTGACCATCCAGGGGTGTAAATGGGTTAGGTCGGTCTACGGCCTAGCCTATATTAGGTCAGACTACAAATAGTAAAACAGAACAGGCCTAGGCTTTTAAAAAAATCTATTTATAAAACAGGCCAAAGGCTTTTTTTATACATATCGGGTCTATAAGCCTACAGGTAGGCCTATATCATATTATTTATTTTAAATAAGATAAATAAAATTATTATTTTAATAATTTTGAATAATAAAATAATATTATTTTAATTATTCTTTTAATTGTTGAATGTTTAATAGGTTTAAACAGGCTAATAGGCCTAGGTAAAGGCTTTTATTTTTTAAATATAGGTCAGACCAGACTTGTAATTTAGGGCCTATACAGGCTAGCAGGCCAGAACAGACCAGACCTAATATTTTTTACACGGGTCTAACCTAACCTATTTACATCCTAATATCTCGTGACATAATAAACAGTAATTCCTATATATATATATATACAAAAGTTCAAAGTTCCAACACTTTTCTAGTTTATACTTTTCATTTTACATAGAAGAACAAAAGTTCCTGCACACACAAGAAATAATGGACTTGAAACGAGCTGTCGAACTCGCGCAAATTAAAAATTATTTTTTTAATTAGGGTTCAGAAAATTTGCAGTAAAGTGGAAACCCTAAGTCGTTTCTCAAGGAAATTGTTTTGGTTAAAATCGCTTATGAGAACAGAAAATTAAAAGGGGGTTTTAGATTTTGATTCAATAATTAAAGAGGCAGAATATAAATTTGGAATAAAAATTCGTAAATAAAAATAACCAACCTAAGGTTTGGGTTCCATGGACGTCTTTCCTCGGATAAGAAGATATCAGAATCGTGATTGATTTGTCAATCGGATCAGAATCCTTATTTCCAATTGACAACCCTCTCTAAGCGATCGCTTAGCATTTGATCAAAGACGATGCTTCTACTCATACAATCGCAGAGTATCAGCCCGCTTGATTTAAGGTCATAGGGTCAATCAACCTAATCATCAAATCTGATGATTAATCCCTTTCCATAATCGCAATCGCGAACCTCAGATTGAATATCCACGATCGCACGATATCAATCTGAGTTGGGAAGGGAAACAAAACTGATTTGAAATAAACGCAGATCCTCAAGACCAATCCATGGAATCCATTACCCTTAGGTTGATTAAAAGGTTCTTAGCCTCGCATGGCTAAGGTAAACATAATTGAAATAAAAAGAAGAAGAAGAAGAAAAAAGATGAAGAACGCAATTGAATAAAAACTCAGAGAGAACTTCTCTGTTGTAAAAACTGACTGCCAAGGGTTTCCTAGAGTCCCCTTTAAATAGCCGTCACGCAGGACGGCTAGGGTTTCATCGCTTCAGCCCAAACATAAAATAAAAAACCGAATAAAATAAAATGAAACAATAACACTTGGCTTTGGGCCACTTAAGTAATTGGGTTTTAATTTAAATTACAAGCCCAATAGTCAAACAAAACTTCAGCAAAACGCGTCCAACTTGGTGTCCGAAATCGACCAGCTTCTAGTCCGAATTGAGCTTAGAGATCTGCATAAGAATTGTAGCTCTCTGTGTTATCTGAAAAACCCAATAAGAACGGAGTCAATCCGACAACTATGGACCGAGATATGGCCAAAATACAAAAGTAACGTAAAGCTGAAAAATTCTGACGAAAATAAATTAAACCCAATTAAAAACTAAAAACCTAAATTAACTCTAACAATCATTATTTTATTCAAATAAATCCTAAAAATACTAATCAAGAGTAACAAATAAGTGTAACAAAATATGTGTTATCAGGACTTCACTTCAATTTTTTTTTCTCCCACCTTTTCTTTTTCTCTCTCCTAAATATTGTCTCTGCTATAAAAGAGAGAACTTCTCCAGCAACATGAGAAGTGTTTTCTGGAGTACTCTCTAGAGTCTTTATCAATAATGAAGTGTGCAACATTTATTGAAGTGGTTGTGCAAGACATTTAGTCATGCATCCATAAACATGATGCATGCTTAGCCACCAAATATTAAACGGAGGAGTACCTCTAACATATGCGACCATACTTAGTTTTGACCCATTGAAGAACCCAAATGTTCCTCTGCCACCAGATTCATGCCACCATACAATGGCTGATGTTACGAAGATAAGGCTGACAAGAAGATTTTAATTTTTAATCCAGTGGTAATCTTTTTTTCTAACCGTGGATAGCCAAAGAAAATTTTATAATGAATGAACCTTTGGCAAGTGGAGATATTTTCAAAACCCCATTTCAAATAGATATCCAATACCCAGATTGCCACACGTTGAACTAGCTTAATTAACTTCCGACAATTGAAGGTGTGAATTGTTTTAGGAAAAAGTGTTTCTTTTTTTAAATGACAAAATTTGTGTCATTTCACTCTCACAAAAGAATTTTTTTAATAAGCTCCCAGCCCATATTTCATTCGGTGCTCCATTTCCAACAATGGAAAAGTTTTCTTTCATTTATATCCTTATCTTCTTCTTAAATTACTTCTCAATCCTTTTTTCTTTCTTTTTTTTGGTTAGAGCTCACAAACTCTAGGCCCACTATAAATAAGCTCTTCACAAAGAGGTGGGATTCACACCTTTATTTTTTTTGTCCAATCTATCTCATCCATAATTTATTTATTTTTCTCACTTAAAATGACACAAATTTACATCATTTAAAATGATACACACTTTTTCCATTGTTTTAACAGTTCTAATGGAGGAATCAAGGAATTGGGATTCATAAAGATCGATCCAGAAAAGAATTGCACCATTTAGTTATTATGAGATGGTTAAAACTTTTTAAGCATGTTTATTTTTTAACTTTTATTAAAAATTATATATGCGTAGAAATTTCGGGTATGCCCTTATCAGGACTCTACCATTACTAGAATTATTTTTAATTTAAAATATAGCATTAATGTTTCTTATGTTATAAAATTGATAAAATTATCTCTCACACACACACATTTAAAAGTGTATGGGGTCAATGTGGGATGTTATGATCACGACAAG